CGAGGCCGTAGCCTCTCAAAATTGCCTTTACCGCCTGGTGAAGGGGAAAGCGGAGACCAGCCTTGAACACCGCCTCATAACAGCCAAAATAGCTGTTGGCGTTCTCCTGATCGTCCTCCCAGGCGACGGTGCCATTCTCAGGCGGCTCCCGGATCCTGTACCCATCTCCAAGAGGGTGCATTTTAGTAAAATTCTTCAAGTTTTCCTCCATTTGGATCCGGTCCTTGGAGGAGACGTGGATGTTGAAGGGATCATCCTTCTCGTTCTACTTTTTCCTTTCTTCCTCCTCGCTATCCGGAAGCGGGGGTAAATCGTCACTACACTCAGAGGTAGAGGCGGAGCTGTCGCTCTCCGTCTCCTCATCACTTTGACCCAAGGGGGCAGAGACGGCCTCGTCGCCGCCTTGGTCGCACTCTTCCAAGAAAGAGTCAGCAGGGGTTGAAGGGGCGCGCGGAGGGGATCTTTCCAGAGCCGTCTGGTCACCCTGACTAGACGTTTCTCCCTCAGGCGTTTGGCCGCCTGAGCCTTCGTTCTTGTAATTTGGATCAATCGCCGTCTGCATTATCCGAGCCACTGTGTCCTGCACAGACACGTAACTGGTCGGAATCCGAGGCAAAGGGTGGTCCCAACACCCCGAGACGGCACTCCCAGTCCTAGACTCAGCCGTCCCTGATGACCGGCTGGACTCTAACCTAGGCTGTGTCGTGTGTGTTGGTGATGCATCCATTTATTGCAAGAAATATGTACAAGCGGTGAAAAAAGAGAAAGAGCCGAGAGAGGCAGAGACGGTACCTTTTGAAGAGATATCTGAAACTAGGCAGGTCCGCTGGGTCTCTGGTGGACGAGCTTTCTTGCTTGCGCTTGACTCAAACGGATGACTTCTGCTCTCTCAAAGTTCTCTCTAGAAAATTTTTTGTAAACGTACCAAAAATTATGAGGGTAAACGGCTATATATAGAGGGTAAATACGGGGGCATTTTCGTAATTTACCCGGAAGGTGAACGGTTACTCTTTAATGGTAAAATTACCGCCAATCGGAGCATGACACATGTCACAGATGCCACGTGGCGTGCCACGTCACATCTGTGAGGGGCAAATGTTTAGGGTAATTTTACCCCGCCACGTGGTCCAATCAGAGGATGACACGTGTCAGCCTCAGGATGGCCCAAAGTGGACCAATCTCTGCTTGACACGTGTCACTCCAGAAAATAAGGGAAAAAAGGCGGCCTTTAGGCCCAAATCCCGAGAAAGCCGCAAAGCGGCGCAGCCCACCACTGATTAGGGTACAGTGACCTAATCAGGGGCACAAATCCCAAAGACCCTATAAATAGGGAGATGTCCCTCTTTTTGAGGGCACGTTTTATCATTTATTACACATTTACTCTTTGATAGAGACATCCTGAGCTTGGAATCCGAGCAGATCCCTACCTAAATTTCCGCACCTTTTTCTCCCTTCAAGTTTCTAACTTGTGCGTCGGAGGTAGAGCACCACCCAACTGGTATCTCCGTTTGTTTTGCAGGTACAGCTCACCCCGGATCATTCTTCGTGTTGTAACTCTCCCGAGGGACAAAAACACCCAAAACACTCGTAGCTGCTTCTTGTGCCGGAATTGCAGCTGCTGCTGACTCATAAGGATCGCTTCCTTGGTTGTGACCTGTGGCTCCGATAACATTCTCAGCATGAGCAACCTCGTCAGCTTCCAGGTTTTCTCTATTTGCCCCCTGCTCATCTGTTTCCATGTCCACTCTTGCTTGTTGTTGTCTTGCATCTTGATGAGTGTTGTTTTGATTGACTACTAGACCTCTAAAGGGGATGTTCCCATTGTTGAATCTTTCACCAGGTCTCACAGTTCTACCCCCACTCTGGATTCCCAGATCAAAGTCTACCATAATGTCCGATACACGGAAATTTGGCGATGGTGGGTGAGTGGGATCATCCCCAAATTGTTCTCTTGGTGTTATTGTACGTTCTAAGAACGGCGTTGCTCTCATATCCAGATTGAACATCGAGAAGCCTTCATTAGTTTCAAGGGTGGGAATGCCCCTTGATTGGTAATGCATCATAGCATGGCTGATATCCTGCAGGATGAGATCTTCGTGCCTCCTGCATCTTGAAAATTTGTGCCTAATTCTACCACATCTAACACAGTACTTGAAAAGATTTTCATACCTTAGCTGGATCCAAATCACTGCATCATCATCTAGCTTCAAGAAGAATCCTGGGATGAGAGGTTCACCTAGGTTAATGAGAACTTCAATCCTTAGATAATCATTTCTAGGTACGAATTGAGGTTCAAAATCCACTTGGAATGGCATTCCCAGCAGCTCTCCAACTGTATTTTTATCAAAATCCACGAATTGAGGTTCAATCCTTAGATAATCATTTCTAAGTAATTTTTATCAAAATTAGAAGTGAGCTGAGTAAAAATTATCAAACTTGTATTGTGTGTGGCTAGTATAAAAAATAAAGTATTTTTATAACATTGATCGAATAACCCTTATAATACTGATCGAGTAATCTCTTTAATATTGACCAATCATATAGCGCTGATGAAGTAACTCTTGTATCACTGACCGAGTAACCCCTATAACGCTAACGAAATAACCCTTTTATCATTAACCGACTAACCTCTATAGCACTAACGAAGTATCCCGTTTATCATTGACTGAGTAACTCCTATACTACTGACAAAGTAACCCTAGCCTTGTTGACAGAGTAACCCCTATATAACATTAACAGAGTAACCCTTTGATGGATGACCACATTGTATACTACCTCCGTTAATTGTTATTTGCAACTTTAAGGTATTATTTGAGAGATATAAAATATTCCAAAGTTGCAGATAACAATAAACGGAGGTAGTATAAGAATTTGTTTAGAGATAAATAATATCCCCCCCCCCTCCCTACAACTATAGAAAAAATACCAATGGCTACTGCCTACTCAAAAGTTAATTTTTTTGGCAAAGGTTTATGTGGCTGGTCACACCATGTGGTCTTCCATTATGAGAGTTACTTGGTTAGCGTTAAAGAAGTTTCTTCGCCAATATTATAAGGTTAATTGGTCAATGTTATAGGGATTACTCGGTGAGTATTACATGGGCTATTTAGTCAGTATCAGACCCGTTTCTGAGAATTTGGTGGCCTAGGGCGAACATATAAATTGGGGCCTTAATTAATTAACACCCATTATATTATATAAGAAGTACAAGGTATATACATATGATTTTTATTTTTAATTTTTAACTTGGAAGGGTATGCAAAATGAAAGATTAACCTCCTCGATTTTAATTCCAAATTCATATCAAAACTACGCTAAAAGACAATGAAAGCTTACTAGCTACATGCTGTTATATGTTAATTAGGACGGAGTAACAAAATCTCGAAACAATGAGTAATATTTGCCTATTTGGTAAAATAGTCAAATCGCTTGTCTAATTAGTTTAAGCCATTGCATTTGTTTCCATTCATCTTTCCAACAGGTTGGAAAAAACAAAACAAAAGTAGAAAACAAAACAAAACTACTACAGTAATGTACTACTGCTCCTCCGTAAGTATGAAATTACAAGCCAAATAATTTTAATTTTTTTTGAGGAAAAATTACAAGCCACAAAAAATTAAAATAAAATAAAAAAAAATAAAGATAAAAACATTCAAATGAAAGAAATTGTAGAAGGTTGAACACAAACCTTGCAAAAATATTATACAACGTCGTAGCAAGAGCGATTTGGAGACAGGGTGAGGGCTTGTTCATATTTACTTCAGTTCAGTTCAGTTCAGTTCCAATCAGTTCAGTTCAGTTCAGTTCAGCTCTTAATTTCCCTCTCTCATAAAATATTCATTTCAGCTTAGTTTAGTTTAGTTCAGTTCAGTTCAGTTCAGCTCCAATCAGTTCAGTTCAGCTCAGTTCAGTAAATATGAACAGGCCCTGAATATTGAAAAAGTTTTGTCCATGTTCAGATTACTAACCCACTCAATAATCAAGTAATTATGTAGATTATGTAATATAAAAAAACAGAAGATACAAGTTACAGAGAATTTATTTTCATAAAAAACAAAATAAAAGAGTTATTTCAGTGTTAAAAATTATTTTCATCTTCAATTGATTATATTAGGAAAATGGGATCTCGGTGAAATTTGGAAAGGTTGAAAGAGATAATTTAATTTTAGAAATAAAGGGATTCATCTAGGCAAAAACTGAATATAAAATGCGAAAATCAAGGGAGTTAAATGCTTACTTTGCTTAGGAAATTGTCGAACTACTCAACTACACCATAACTACATCAGAGTTAAATGCTCAAGTAATTATAGATTTTTTTTTCTTGGATAATTTGAGGCCCTGTTTTAAACGAAACTTGGGCTTTACAGTCTTGGGCCCTGGGCGGTTGCCCCACCTTCCCCGCCCCAGCTACGGCCCTGGTCAGTATTATAACGGTTATTTCTGTTCTTTTAAACACAAAATGGCCTGTAAATAATACCAAACGAAACATACAAGCCCTTAATATAATAAGCATCTTTCAACTTAACCAATAATTACGTTTGGTACGTAAAGATTAAGAGGAATATTAACGTAAAGTCGTAAACAATATCTACTTGTATTACGTTTGGTACGTAAATATCACTCCATAATTCAGATATAATGAAACATTCATCACTCATCTATAAACTACTCCATATAAATCCAACCAAAAGTTCATGGAACGCACGTCTTGTACTTATTATTGAGCAACTAGTTAGTTTCGTCCTAGGACTGACTCCGACAAGTAAATCAATGACTTCATCCAACAACTTACCAAGTTGCAATGTCCAAGTAATTTCCTAAACCCAAAAAACAATCTCATAAAATTAAAATTAAAATTAAAAATCAGTTTTCACGACAGAGTCCATCTCCTAATTTCATAGTCAGCAACAACAACCACCAAGTTGGCTCCTTTTTTGTCTTTTTAAAATAACATTAAATTCTAAATTTCTATCTTTTTAACCAAAAAGAATAACAAAAGAAAGAAAAATAAAATTAAAATTAAAACCCGCGTCAACTTGGGCGTCTGCCGTCTCTCGTCCCTTTGTGGACGCCCAATACCTCCCTTTCCCCCACATTTACCCTTGACTCCATTTTTCTACTTCCGAAACTTTCTTGAACCTTCCTCTTTCTCAATACTCATTTAAACTTCAAACTCGTATTTCTTCCTCTTCTTTATTCACAATCTTCATAACTTATTACAATTTATTTGTTGAATTGAATAATTTTCCTAAAAAATGGCGGATCATATTGGTAAGGATTACAATATCCCTCACGAACAGAAGAGATACGCCCTCAGCGGCAGGATAATGCTAAGCGCAATCGTGATTCTATTCGCCGTGGTTGTAATAATGGTATGTCTTCACGTGTACGCCCGATGGTATATATTACGAGCGCGACGGCGACAGATCCGTCGCGCTCGTCGTCGTACCCACCTCGTATTCTACATCGAGCCGGATAATCCTTCCGACATTGCTCTCGCCCAATCGCAGGGGCTCGACGCGGCTGTGCTTAAATTTTTACCGACTTTTACGTTTGGGGAGGACAAGGTGGTTGAACTTGTCGAAGGGGAAGAGCTGGAATGCGCTGTTTGTTTGTCAGAATTTGAGGAGAGAGAAAAAGGGCGTTTATTGCCTAAATGTAAACACTGTTTTCATGTTGAGTGTATTGACATGTGGTTCCATTCTCACTCCACGTGTCCCCTTTGCCGCTCCCCCGTCGACGCCGAAGATGTTCCGCCACCATCGCCTACTGTGAAAGGCGATGAGGTGGTTGTTGAGCTGGGTGAGCTGTCGCAAAGTGTTAATGTAGCCGAATCAAGAAACAATTTAAGTCCGAGTCACGGTGAGTCGGACGTTTTAACTACGGGATCGTCGTCGTTTGCGGGGAGGAGGAAGGGGTTGGATTTGGTGGGGGTGTCAATTGAGGTGCCGAGAAGGACCCAGAGTTTTTGTTTTCAAGGGTCTAACTCGGACGAGCCGGGGCCGAGTCGTTCCCCGGCTTCGGGTGTTAGATCGCCAACGAGTCGGATAATGTCATTGAAGAGGATATTGAGTAGGGATAAAAGGTCTCCGCTCCCTTCGCCTTCGGGTGCCGGGTCGAGTTGTTGCGAGTTGGATATTGAGTCGGGTCGAGTTGAATCGTCGGGTCAGGTCTTAACGCCGAGGTGATTAATTGGTACAGTATACAAAATCTGCGATCAAATTTCGTCATTTCCTAATTTTAAAAGATAATCATATTTTTCAAGTGAGTGGGAAAAATTGGGGCGAGATCTAAGGGCACGTGACGTACACGCGACGGCGCTAATATTAAAAAAGTCGTTGGAATTTTGAAAACATTCGGCGGAAGTTGTCAGAGAGTCGTGGTGTTCATACGTCGAGCTAGCTCTGGTCAATGAATGTGACCTGCTTGACACGTGGGCGAGACCCGTTTTTGTTAAGGGTAAAACGGTCATTTCATACATTTATGGCATACTTTTGGAGACCATCAAATTTCAGTATTGACTATGTAAATACGGCATATACAAGTATGAAAAAAAATATACAGTATTTTGCAATTTGTTCAATTTTTAATTTGTTGTTCTTCAGTGAAAATTATGGTGTACATTTCTAGCCGTAGACTTTGTTAGTAAAGGAAAAGTATGGGTTAGTTTATTTATTCGGTACTCCGCATTATGGTAAATAGATGTGATAAAATTGATACTTATTACTTTAGTGTTGTTCTTAATATTTCCCTAACGTATCAGAGAATGATTAAATGCAAGTGGCAGTTGGTATTAGTTGGTCTCGAGACCAGCTAATTATACCTGGTCCCTCATATTGAAAATAAGCGTTTAATATAATAAAAATGAACATTTTCTGACGGGCTGTTCAGTTATTCCGCACTTACTTTTAGATTATGGGCCTGCGGATATCACTGTGGCTTGGATTGTTAACGATATTAAAAGGCTTCTTTGTTCCTTTATGGTTTGCCACATTCGTAAGGTGTCGAGGTCTTCTGTTACTCAGGCGCATGATTTAGCAGAAGTGGCTCGGCATAGGGAATTATTGTCTTTTGTTTTTTAGTCTTTGTTTTAGTTTGTAGTTCTCTTTGCCAAAAAAAAAATGAACATTTTCTTACTTAAGGTTGTCTTCCCAACAAAAATGAACATTTACTAGAAAAATAATGAACATTTTTTGTTGCTTTCATGACTAGCCAATTGTGGTTGGTCCTTCATTAGAAAAATGAGCATTTATGATAAAAATAAACATTTTATGGTTGAACATAAATGGACAATTACTAACTCAAAAGTGTACAAAATTTATATTGATTGAAAGAAAAAATGAACATAAGAGTGAACAAATGTGAAATACAACCACTTTTCATACGAATGCAGAAACTATAAACCCTTTAAATCATCAACAGTGAACAAAGAGAAATTAGAAGGACAATAATGCAAGAAAAATGAGCAAAAGAGCAATGAAAAAATCAATAACATTTAAGAGAGCAGAGAGAAAAATTAGAGACAAACCCCATGATGGCGAGCTTTGGAAATTTGATGGTTGTGGTGAGAAGAAGACGACTCAACTCGCAAGAATGGTGAGCACAGGCCACAGACAAAATCCTGAGTTTGAAATTTGGAAAGAGGAAGGAGAAGATAAAGAGAAAAGCCATTGAAGTGGAAAAACGGTACCATTTTACCTCGGGACCGGCCAGCAGTAGTTGGTCTCGGGTCCAGCTAAATATTTGCGTGCAACAGGTACACACAATTTCAAGAATTCGACACGAGTACGGCACGAATCCACGAGTGGCGAGGCCTTCCAAAGGGAGGTTTGATAGGTACTTGTATATACATATCAAGGGGCATTTGAGACATTTCGCATGAAATTTACCCATGTCTCTCCTCCTTTTCTCTCACCCCCACGTGCTGGATTTAAGTATACCATTGAGTGATTAATAGTATCACTAAATGATCAAATAGTATCATTGAACATTCAGTGGTACTATATATTCATTCAATGGTACTATATATTCATTTAGTGGTACCAACTACGTATAGAAATAATATCACTACATATTCAATTATATTATATAAGCTTTTAGTGGTACATTTAAAAATTGGACCCACTTGCTAATCTCTCTCCTCCTTTCTCTCACCCTCATGTGCTTACAATACTTTTTAATATTTTAAGGTTTGATATGTATTTTCAAATACATATCAAACCTTCATTAGTACTTCCTCCACGGGTGGCACAATAGTTTAGCCCGTCTTAGCACGGCCATAAAATAACATAAATAATAATTAAGAACTATAATAATAAAAAAAAACAATAATAATACAATAATAATAAAATAAATAAACATACATTAATAAAATTATTTAAATAGTATATCCATTTTATAAGTCGTTCAAAAAATTAAAAAAAAATTAAAAAATATTATGGGCAATCCGATGTCCAACATGACACAACACGCCAGCCACGTGGGTCGTTGTGTTGTGTCGTGTCGTGCCGTGGGGTGGGGTGTGCTAAATGGTGGCTCGGCACGGCACGACACGCCAAGATGCAGGCACGGTATGACATGAGCCACCATCAGGCACGGCGTGGCACGACATGCGCCGGCCTAGCACGGCTCGTTGCCCACCTCTAACCCCATCCTAAAAGAAATAAGTCATATTAAAAAGGAAAATTTGATTTTGTTAATCCCAATTTGAGATATCAATATCAATCAATCAATCAATACTTAGTTAGTATTTAAAAATACAAACCACAAATTAATCTTATGCCACGTGTCACTACAAATTACTCATGTGCCACATGTCATTGCAAATTAATCATGTGCCACATCTCCTAATCTTTCTTTTACTTTTAAATACTCCCTCCGTTTTTAAATATTTGCTCCATTTCTCCATGCGCGGAGTTTTAAGATAAATTGGAGAAAGTAATAAAATATGGAAGTAGTGGGGTAGTTGAGAAAATAAAAAATGTAAAAAGCACAAGTAATTGAAGAATAGGAGGAGATAGAGTATCAGGTTGGGTCCACTAAGTGTGAAAATTGAATTTAATATTGTAAAAGCTTTATAAAAAAGGAAAATTTGATTTAAATAATCCAACCTTTAACGTATTTGTTTTTAATAATCCAACCTTTATATTATCCTCAAATAATTCAAGTTTTAGGGGGTATTCCATTTTATTAGGCCAAACCGGTCACCAACCTACAACAGTAGGTTACCTTGCCACGTGTTATATTTTGATTTGCCTATATTTTTTTATTTCATTTTCCCTTCCCCTACCTTCATCCCCTCCATAACTTCCTGCTACCAAGCTTAGAGCAGCCACCACATCGAAGACTAGCCTCCCTAATCCCACCACCAGATCAAAGACCCACCACCAGCAGCCCCATCACAAACCCAGAAACAAGACACCCTCGAACCCAGAAACCCTTCGAACCTTGTTTGAACCTGACCCTCGAACCCAGAACACCCCACCACCGTCACGCAAAACCAGAACAAAAACCCATCCATCCTCCCCCAAAACCTTGCTCAAAACCATCGAAAACCCCTGCCCCACCGCCGATTTTTGGATTTCGGGGTGTTTGGAGTGGTTTTCGTAGCTTATCTTCTGGGTGTCGAGACGAATTTTGCCCAAAACCATCGAAAACCCGACCCTCTTCCCTCCTTCTCCCTCTTCTTTCTCTTTTTGTTTCAATTTCCATCAATTTGCAAGAAAGCTTCGATCTTCAAAACCCTATAATTTACCCCCAATTTGATTAGGGTTTTGCAAGATCAAGAATGGAGCTTCCTCAAGAACTCAATGATTTAATCAAAAATTCAATCGATCCTATGGGACTTGGATTTGGAATTCTGGGTTGGTTATTGTGGGAGAGAAGAAATTTGGGTTATATTGGGAATGTTTATGGAATTAATCAATTGAATGGAGGATGATTGATGGTTGGGCGAAGTTGGTGGTGGAGTTGTGCTTCTGCGCTGCCTGTGGGAGGTGATGTGGGATGGGTGGCGATGGACGATGGTTGAGCAGAGGAGCTGCGTTGGTGTGTGTTGTTGTTTGAAGTTGTAGTGGATGCGGGTGGGTTTTCCGGTGACTTGCGGCGACGGGGGAAGGCAGGGGTAGAGGTTATTTGCCGGCGAGTGAAGGGAGGGGTAGGGTGTTTCCCGGGGAAGCGTGGGGGGCTGGTGGTTTGAGGTTTTTTTTTTACCTTTTTGTGAAAAAGTTGTAATGTATAAAAAAAATTACCTGTAGAGAAGGTAACCGGTCATAATGGCCTGATAAAAAAGAACAACCATTAAAGCTTGGATTATTGGAGAATAATCAAAAAGTTGGATTATTAAAAACAAATACGTCAAAGGTTGGATTATTTAAATCAAATTTTCCTATAAAAAATGAATGGAGCAAGTATTTAAAAATGGCCGGAAAAGAAAAGTGGAGCAAGTATTTAAAAACGGAGGTAGTATCACTTAAAATAAAATAAAATAAAAGTCTTTTATGCATTCTATAACTTGCAAAATTCAGTAAAAAAAAATGAAGTGTTTCATTTTCACCATAATAAATTAAAGTTGAACTAATTAATACATATTAATAAACATATGAAATACAATAAGAATATTCTTTTCATCTCCTAAACTTAAAAATATAACTTAAAATCAATGTGTCATTTCATCCCACAATATTCATGTATGTATACATACGTAACTAAATCCCTTCCTCTTCTTCCACAATTCCGCCCTCACTCTCTTTGCTTTAAGTTTGAATAATGAACTTTATCTATCTTAATGGTCATGAAACAATTATTTCGTATTTTATATCAAAAGTTTCAACTATTGAAAAATATACCTACGTATAAAAATAATCTAAGTAACAACTTGTGCATCAAACGAACCAAAATGCTAGTTTACTTTAAATAATCTAAATTTTAATTATTCTGCAATAACCCCAAGTTCCCAACTTTGGAGGGCTCAAGGTGAATTCCAATGTAAATAAGGGAGGGAAGGGGTTTCGAGTAAGGGTTGTGGTTTCGGGCAAGGAAAGAGCAGGGGGGTTAGACTTTTCGACAAGGGGAAGGGAGGGGTTGGGGTTTTGCCGGATGGGATTCGAGAAGGGAGTTTCAAGTTTTTGAAAAAAAAGCAAAAAAATTAATCAATTAAATTGCAACACATGACATTTAACAAGGAAAAAAAGGCCTCTAAATCAAATCACTGATCATTTGGCATGTTGAAATAAAACACTCCAAAAAACTAGGATTATTTAAAGTAAATAATCTAAAATTTGGATTATTAAAACCATTTTTTCCAACTAAAAATTATGAATGTAATACATATATTACATAGAATGGATACAGCTACTTCACTAAAAAAAAAAAAAAAAAAAAAAAAAAAAAAAAAAAAAAAAAAAAGAATGGATACAACTAAACTTGCTGATAAAAGATGTTACAATGACTAATGACTTACAATTACATATACTGATTTAAGTTATGACCGAAAGAAACAATCTTGAAGGCGCTAATTGGTCAGTATTAGCTAATCTAAAGCTATGAATCATCACTGGAATACACTACATAGATGTTCTCGAATATCATGTCATCTTGCTGAGTTCAAGTCAACTGACTCGCTACCTGAGATCTTCGCCTGCGCTTCCCATCAGGAGTGCACCCCAGCCCACCCTTCTCCAGCTCCAAAGAATATTTACAATTTGGTTGCGCTAAAATAGATCTTGATTTA